GATGAGCCAGAGGCAGAGGGCCCCGAGGCTGAGGATGAGCCAGAGGCTGAGGGCCCTGAGGCAGAGGATGAGCCAGAGGCAGAGGCCCCGAGGCTGAGGGCCCCGAGGCAGAGGATGAGCCAGAGGCAGAGGGCCCCAAGGCTGAGGGTCCCGCCCCAGGAGGCAACAGAAGCGGGTTCCTGCCCTCTTCTGGGTCCTCACTGTCAAGCAGGACAATCCTCCGAGCTCCACTGCATCCCATCCATGAGGAAGATATTCCCCCAGAATCCATTAACCTACCTTAAAGAACCTCTGGTGATCAGTCAGAGGGAAGGCCTGTGTTTGGAGCTTTCTAACAGATCTATACCGAAATGACAGAGAGACGTGGATAGCCCACATTTGAGGCAGAAAAATTCGGCAAGGCTCCTTCACCTAGAAGAAGGATTTCCAAAAGGAAATATCCAGTACTGACAAGTCTCAGGAAAGTCAGAAGTTGATTTCAGAAACAGGAGGCAGGGCTACCAGTTAAGAATGACCTTTTTGTTTAAATGCAGCACAAAAATAAGTAAGAGAATGAATGAATGCAGCACAAAGCATTCTGAATTCTCACATATTACAAAGACAGAATTACAAAGCCCTCAAAAAGCTAATAGCAAATTCTGAATGTATTGTGAACTGTAAATCAATTTTAAGTACTTTTCCCATTATATACACCATCTTGTCAATGGACTGTTCAAGAAGCCATAATGATACCCATTTTGTATTAAACTAAACAGCAGAAACGATAAAGTGGCCACACGTGTTGCTATGGACTGAGCTGTGTGCCCCCGAATCCAGCTGACGAGCACAGCTCTTGTCCATCCAAATCCCGTCCCCCAGTGCCCCAGGGGGCCCCGCGCCCACGCAGCCCACAGAGACTCTCCTCTGATCGGCCCAGCAGCCAATGCCTGCTCCCGAGCCTTCAAGTCAGACGGCAGCTCACTGAGCCAAGAGGTAACCCCCACTCCTGAGCCAGGTCTTCGGGCCCTGGCAAAGGATCTTAGGCTTCCTTTTGTAACCAATTAAAAACAACCTTTTCACTTTCGTAGAAGGAGCCGTACATGAGCGTACTATTATTATGGTTATGGCAATACTATTATTAAAAGCATACTGTTATTTATTCTCAAGTTTAGTTATTAGAACACACTAATCTGTGACCCAGTTTGGGACACGCAAGAGAGAACACTCCCTCCTACCAATCATCACCAAGTTAAAGTTCTTCACAGAACATGAAACAGGGGAGAGGAGCTCACCTGCCTGTAGGTGTCCTGGTGAACATCATCATTCCGAGAGTCGTAATAGTGCTCAATAAAAGCAAAATACTCTTTCTGTTTTCTCTGGAGAGTGGCTGGTCTTCGGTCCACATTGGCAGGAAGGTAACCCTGTGTGAGAAAAAGAACAAAAACAAAAAGTGTATATGGTTAACGCTGGATTCACCATTCTGAAATGGGATTCTGAAATTGGACACGGGGGAGCATAATGAGCTGTGAAAACAGAAACAGACATCAAGGAAATCAGCTGGCTGGCCTCTGAGGCTCGGACACACGCAGCCTTCGCCAGGCCAGCCACCAGGGACTCACGGCCACAGGGTGGGAGCCAGACTGCAGCCTCTGGCAGGCTGGTCCTTCGTGCTCTTCCAGAGCAGGACTGAGAGGAGCCCCTAGCTCTCTAAATGCCTCGTGTGCCTCAAAGGATTCAGAAGTCGGCAGGTCTTATGACAACAGAACACACGTGTGCATGTGCACGCTCACATGTACACACAACAGAGGCCTGTATGCGTACGTGTGTATGTAATACGCATACACGCACACATGTACAGACTGTCACCTATGCAAATGTTCCCCTCTCTGCAGAGACCGCTGGGCGCCTGGCAGTGCAGCCCCAGTACATAAAGTGAACTCAAATCCAGAAGGGCTGGGCAGGTCCGGGTGGTCATGAAGAGCCCAGACTCAGGGCCACACTGCTTGGTGTTTTATATGCTTTTTATTTCTTTGTTTCTCCTTTTAAATCAACATTGACATGTCACATATAAAATGTGCCGCTTTTAAGTAAATAGTTCTGTGACCCTGGATGAGCGTCCACAGCTGTGTAACTGCTACCCCAGTGAAGCGACAGAGCATTTCTATCACCCCAAAACCCTCCCTGTGCCCGCAGCAGTCCATCCCCACACTCACAACTGGAGAGTCCGGGGAGCTGCTCGCCCCCTCACCAGGAAGCACTGAGGCCTGGCCTAGAACGTCAGGCACACAGAATCCTTTGGGGACCCACGCTTGGTTTTCACTCAGCCTCACGGTCTTTGTGATTCATCTGAACTGAAGTGTGAGCCAGCAGTTACTTCCTTGGCTTAGGGAGCAGTATTCCGCGGTACGGACGGGGCACTTGGCCGGGCCATACTCTGGTTACTGACCATCGGGGCTGGTGCTAGTTTGGGGCTATTATGAATAAAGCTTGTTACAAATATTCTAGTACGAGGGTTTTATGGCTATGCACTTTGATTTCTCATGGTTCCACACCTAGGGGTGGACTTACTGGCTCACTGTGCAGGTGCATGTTTCGCTTCCTAAGAAACTGCCAGACCTTCCACAGAGTGATCGTACGGTTTCACATTCCAACTAACAGCGCGTCTGAGAATCTCAAATGCTCCACACCCTCCCTGACACTTAGTATTGTCCTTCTTTAAATATTAGCCGTCCTGGGGGTGCTTGGCTGGCTCAGTCAGGGGAGCATGCATCTCTTGATCTCGGAGTTGTCAGTTCAAGCCCCGTGTTGGGTGTAGAGATTACTTTAAAAAATAAATAAAATCTTTACAGACAAATACCATATGATTTCAGTTATATGTGGAATATGTTTCCAACAGGAAACAAAACAGATGAACACATAGGAAGCGGGGGGAAGAGGGAAGCAAACCATAAGAGACACTTAACAGGGGCGCCTGGGTGGCTCAGTCGGTTAAGCATCTGCGTTCAGCTCAGGTCATGATCCCAGGGTCCTGGGATCGAACCCCGCATCTGGCTCCCTGCCCAGGGGGGAGCCTGCTTCTCCCTCTGCCTCTGCCCCTTCCCTTGCTTGTGCTCTCCCTCTCAAAATCTTTAAAAAGAGAGAGAGAGAGAGAGAGAGAGATTCTTAACAACAGAGAACAAACAGGGCTAACGGAGGGAGGAGAGTGGGGGTGGGCTAGACGGGAGATGGGGAGGGAGGAGGGCACTTGCTGGGATGCGCACTGGCTGTTGAATGTAAATGATAAAACACTGAATTCTACTCCCAAGACCAATATTACACTATATGTTAACTACTAGAATTTTTTTAAAAATTTGGGGGAAAAAAATAAAAAGGAAGACTCTTTTACCCAAAAAAATGTAAAAAATAAAAAATAATAAAATCTTTAAAAAAGATCTCTTTAAAAAAAAATCTTCAAAAAACAATCAGCCATTCTACTAAGTGGCTCTAAATGAATGAGGACCATCTCACGCACCCATTTGCCACTGCTTCTCTTCTTTGGTGAAGGGTCTGTTCAAATCTTTTGCCCATTTTTTAAATCCAGTTGTTTGTCCTTCTAGTGAGTTTTATGGTTCTCTATTCTAGACAGAATTTTTGTGTCTAGACACATAATATACATATTATGATTATATTCTCCTAATCTGTGGCCTTTTTGTCTCAAACAGCAGGAGTTTTCAAAGTTTTTCTTTTATATTTAGTCCTTCTTCTTTTCTATATAAGAAAGATTCTCTCCTTGTTTCTTCCCTAGATGTTTTAAAGCTTGACCTGGCTACCTCCTGCTCATCCCTCAAGCATCTCTTTGATGATAACTCTTCCTCAGGAGGCTTAGCCCGACACCGGAGGTGGGCTGGCCACGCCGAGCTCCAGCAGCACCTGGCAAGAGACTCCGTCAGAACCAGCCCCTCAGTGTGCCAGCCACGTGGCAGTCAACTTTTTATTAAGTGAATTTATGTATGAGCAAGTAAGTGAATGGTTGAACAAATATAACCTATATGGTACTTTCTGCCTTTTAAAACTCCCCCACATCTGGGGCACCTGGGTGGCTCAGCTGGTTGAGCATCTGACTTGATTTCGGCTCAGGTCATGATCTCAGGGTCCTGGGATCAGGTCCCTCATCAGGCTCTGCACTCAGCAGGGAGTCTGCTTGAGAATCTTCCTCTGCCCCTCCTGCTTGTGTACACATGCGCGCGCTCTCTCTCTCTAATAAGTAATTAAGTCTTTTAATAATAATACCAATAAAAGAGGATGTGCAGAGACTGGAGCTGTGGCAGCCACCCTGCGACCATGCGGGAGAACCACGGGCTGCAGGTGCACCGTGAAGAGCCAAGTGGAAGGAGCGCTGAGCTCAGAGGGTTGCCAGCCTTGACGATGAGGTGGGCCTGAATCCAGCTACAGCTTTTCTGTTGGGTGAGTGCCTCTGTTCCCTTTCTTTTCGGAAGGCGTTTCCATGAGCATCTATTCTGTTATCAATTACACTCTCGCACACATTTGCTTTAACTCATTTGGGTCATACGAGTTAAGCTTCTTCTTAATAAACACGTATTGAAACAGAATGTGTGTGCACACACTCACCAAAAATGTGTGCAGAATTACCACAAAGTGACCCCATCTCGAGGCCCCTTGGGAGCCTCCCAATCACCATCCTTCACCTCCTCCCTGGAGCTAGATCTCTGACTGCTAACACTGGGGTAAATTATGCCTTTTTCTGAACTTTATATAAATGCAATCATTTTTTCCGTCTGGCTGCTTAAACATTACATTTGAAGAAGTCATTCGTTCTTGTGACATGTGAAGAGTAGGTGCTTTTCATTGTCACGTGTTCCCACGTACCAAACCCATTCTGTTGACAGACATGTGGGTTGCACCTCTCTCTGTTATAAACACTCCTGTTCCTGTCCTTTGTGGCACGTGGTGTGCATCTCGTCAGGGAGGTACCGAGGAGGGCGACCCCTGGCTGCACCTCCATTTCACAGACCTCCTGCAGAATTTTCCAGAGTGAAAGCACTCACAAGCACCCACTGTTCCACATCCTTGCCAACACTTGGTGCTGTCCACCCTCATCTTAGCCATCCCAATGGGCCTGCGAGGTCTGTCAGACGGTGGCTTTAATCTGCATTTCCCAGAAGACTGACAGGTGCCGTTGCGTGTCCTCAGCTGTGCAATGCGTGTACAAGTGTAGCCCCGTTTCTATGGGGTCACCCCCGCCTTGCCCGTGCTCCACTGTAGGTGTCTACTGTATTGTCTGCACGTGAGTCCTCTGTGAGCGTCTCCTCCTCCCCCCTTGCCCATTAATGATGTCTTTTGATGAAGACAAGTTCCTAACTTTAAGAGAGCCCCTTTTATTAATCTTTTATGATTAGTCTTTCTCATTCCTTTGTAAGAAAATTTCCTTTATCCAGCATCCCGTGCCTACACATTTCACTTTAAAGCCATGCCCGGCTCCCCACTGTGGTGAAGCAGTGTTCTCCTGTGGAGCCAGCACCCCCACGATCAGACCTCTGCAGCCAGCACCATCCAGAGTACACCGGGGCATCACCCCGCACAAGGCACTCTGTCAGGTACCCAGCCCTGCCCCTGCTGGGGGGCCGACCACTCCCGGGGCTGGTGAGACCTGACACTGCTTCCTCACGTCGGAGATGCCTTCACAGACCATCGGTTTGGGAACCACCAGGATCCACCACAACCATCTGACCTTACTGCCGACTTCCAGTCCCCGTCATCTCCTGGAAAAACACAAGTTGCCACAGCCACAGGCTGAGGAAGCAGGCTGCTCACTGGGCACCGGGCTACACACAGCACTGCCTTGAATCCTGCTCAGTGGACATGCGGTCATTATTCCATTTACAGAAGAGGGAAAGCCTCAGGAGTTTCCTTAGTGAGCCCAGGGTTATGGGGCCAGAGGGCACGGTGCAGCCAGCCCTCTTCAGGGGCAGCTGGCTCAATTCACAGAAACTCAGGGAACAAGTCCCCGCCCTAGGGAGCCATCTACACACACACACACCCTGTTCACTGAGCTCTGCGTGTGTCCCGGGCCCCCAGACCCTCGCACCCTCGCACCCTGGGCTCAGCACCAGGAGGCAGAGTCCCTGCGCGCTGCCTCACACTGAGCTCCGGAAGCTGCCAAGGCTTCTGATCATGCCCCTGCCCAGAGGCGGACACCCTCCCCGCTCTGCCACCAGCCCCTCTGGCTCCCCAGTTCGGGGCCTCTCTCTGAACGCCCGTTCCCTGGGCCGAGACTCCCGCCTGCACACAGGGCTCAGCAGGCTGGTGGGCGCCAGCAGGCAGAGCGGGGCAGCTGACACGGAGCCGCCTGAGTCCCCAGGCCGCGGAGGCCGAGCGGCCCCTGACCTCGGCACCAGGGCTGGCCTCTGATCTCCTCCAGCCT